CTGAGCCCCGAGGTATTGCAGTGCTTGTCACTTTACTGGCTCTGGGTGGGTCCACATAATACCCACTGCACCCTGAAACGCTCATCTCCTGGGGTCTTCAGACTTGAGCTGGATCTTTCCCCAGACAGGACAGACTCCCTCTTTTCCCAGGATGGCTCTCATCAAAGCACCATGTGGTTCTTCTTGCCATTGTCCTTCATTTACCCCTCACCACCAGAGTCCATCAGAGCCCAGCAACTCTATCCCTGCCTTCTGAGCTGCCAGAAATGGGCCCACTCCCACCTGTGCTTCCAGGCCCTGAGCCCAGCCACTCCTGAGAGGCCAGGGTACACAAATCTAGGTTACTGCCTGCATCTTGCCAACAGATGAGAGTGAATTTTTACTAAAATAATCCAGAGCAAAGCTGAGGGGCAGCTTGGTACTTTTCTCACTGGTCTTGATGTGGATTCTCATTTGCTTTTCCTAGAGCTAATTGCAGAGACTGAAGTGGGCAGCCCTTCCTGAGTAGAGCGTTCTCGGGGCCATCGCACTGCACAACTCTTGGGGTACCATGTACATTTAGCTGTATGAATGGTGTCCCTCGGAGCTGAGCAGGGCACAGCCTGGCCAGACATGCCTGGGTCACTGTGAGGGATGTCTCACAAGCTACCCAAAGGGAAGAGCAGTAACTGTCCAAGTCTATCGACCTCTGCCCGCCTGAGCCAACCCCATCCTTCTTAATAGGAAACCAAGGCATTCCAGGGGCTCCTGCTACCCTAGAACAAACTCTGGAACAGGTTTGCATCCAAATGCCCATTGCTGCCCCCTCCCATCTGGGGAGGGGGGCGGTCTTTCCTAGGACTGCTCTCACCCTCACCATGCTGTCCACTGCCAAGCACACCTTCCTATTTGAAGCCAGTTCATCAATGAAAAGGGTTTATTATAAAAGGTGGAGGTGGGGAGAATGGCAGAGGAAGTAAAGAAAGAAATCTGGGCAGAAAATGCCAGAAGAGGAAGCATAAGGAAGATAATCTAGCAGGATTATCTATCTCCTTCCACACATTCATTTAATCCACAGTGATGCTGTGTGGGATCATCAACATGGGTCCCGCTTTACAGATGAGAAAGCCGAGGGCATAGGGGTTTAAGTCACTTGCCAAGGACACACAAAGAGGAAGTGGCAGGCCCAGGCTGGGCATGGAGGGTGGGAGTCCAGAGACAGGTTGAGGTGGTGGCGGGTCTGGACTGAGCAGAGGCTCCCTGAGACTGTGCCCGCCCCCCTCCCCTCAGTTGAGCAGCTTACCGTGGTGGGCAAGATTTCCTTCAACCCCAAGGATGTGCTGGGCCGCGGGGCAGGCGGGACGTTCGTTTTCCGGTGAGTAGGTAGCCAGAAGCTGGGCTGGAGATGTGGCTTTCACGGCACTTTGGGCCGCTGTCCTTCGGGGGGCCATTCTTCAAAGGCTCGCCGAGGCGGGTGCAGGAAGGAACTTTTTCCATCGTCTTCCCTCTCTGAACCACACCCCCCCAGGGGCCAGTTGGAGGGGCGGGCAGTGGCTGTGAAGCGGCTGCTCCGTGAATGCTTCGGCCTGGTCCGGAGGGAGGTCCAGCTGCTGCAGGAGTCAGACAGGCACCCCAATGTGCTCCGCTACTTTTGCACCGAGCAGGCACCCCAGTTCCACTATATAGCCCTGGAGCTCTGCCAGGCCTCCTTGCAAGAGGTGAGCCAGAGCTCAGAGGGGCAGTGGGGTGGTGGGGGGGGTCCCAGGTTGCACAGTGACACTGTCCCCCACCTCTTCAGTACGTGGAAAACCCAGAGCTGGAGCGCTGGGGCCTGGAGCCCTCCATGGCGCTGCAGCAGCTGATGTGTGGCCTGGCGCACCTGCATTCCTTACACATAGGTAGTATCCGGCCCCGCCCTCCGCTCCAGCCCCCACTCCCCCCCCACCCCAGCCCCGCCTTCCCCATTCCCCACCGCTGCACTCAGCTCTGCTCTGCTCTCAGTGCACCGGGACCTGAAGCCAGCCAACGTCCTTATCGCGGGACCTGATGGCCCTGACGGCCGAGGCAGGGTGGTGCTCTCAGACTTCGGCCTCTGCAAGAAGCTGCCTGCTGGCCGCTGCAGCTTCAGCCTCTGCTCGGGCATCCCCGGCACGGAAGGCTGGATGGCGCCCGAGCTCCTACAGCTCCTGCCCTCTGACAGTCCTGTGAGTCCTTCCCTGGCCTGGTGCCTCTCCTGCTGCGGCCAAGCCTGTTTCTTCATCTTTAAAGTGGCATAGTTCATCCCTTCTTACCTAGAGCAGTGGCTCTCAACCTGGGACTATTACACTGCCCAGGGGACACTGGGCACTGTCTAGAGACATTTTTGGTCATCACAGCTAGCTGGGGAATCGGGGTTTGCAACCGGCATCTGGTGGGTAGAGGCCTGGGATGCTGCTAAACATCCTACAATGCACAGGACAGCCCCCCATGACAATAATCCGGCCCCAAATGTCAATAGTACCAGGGTTACAAAATCCTGACCTAGAAAAGGGGTTTCAATCTGCACTGTGCTGCAGAATCACTGGCAAACTTGAGAGTCAGATGCCCAGGCCCCACATCCAGTGATTCTGACCAGACTAGCCCAGAGCCGGGCTCCAGGTGATTCTAATATGTAGCCAGGGAGAATCACGGATGTAGAGGGTTTAGGGAGCACCAGAGGATCGAATACAGTTGAAGCCCAGAGCAGGGTCTGACCCCCAGAGACACTTGAGTCTGAGACCCCAGGATTATGGATTTGAGTTGTCAGTGTGTGGGTGGAAGATGAAGTCATGTGCACAGATGAGAGTAATAGGAAAGGTTAGTCGCTAGGCAAAGCCATGCCTAAATCAAGAGAAAGCAGGAAGTGGCCACCCGGAGGCGCAAGGACTAAAGGATCTGATGTTATGAGATTGGACAGATTTTAATTAGTAGCCAGCATTTTAACTTTTGGGAAATTTCACATAGCAACCTTGATTTCTGGATCCTCTTGGAAAATCAAAGCTCTGCCACCCAGGAGAGTCCCCTGGAGATCATACGGTCTCACCGCCGCTTCAGTCCCTCCAGCCCGGCCGGCCTCACTCACCTCTGTTACCTGCTAGGCCTGGAGGAATGCAGCTTGCACACCTGCACTAGCAGCTCAGGAGGGCCAAGATTTTGGATGAAAACCACGGGCCCCTTCCAGTGGTGCAGAGGGGTGGAGGTCTCAGGTCGAGGAGATGGCGCTCAGGAAGCATCCTTGAGTTCTAGTCTGAACCAAAGCCCTGGCTACCGTACCAGCCCACAGGAGAATTGACCCGGGCAGGCTTCCCGGAAGCAGGGACTGCCTCCTTATGTTGGTCTCTCTGGCCCCCAGACAAGAGCAGTGGACATCTTCTCTGCTGGCTGTGTGTTCTACTATGTGCTTTCTGGCGGCAGCCACCCGTTTGGAGAAAGTCTTTATCGCCAGGCAAACATCCTTGCAGGGACTCCCAGCCTGACTCACCTGGAGGAAGAGGCCCATGGTGAGGGGGGACAGGGCCTGGCAGAGAAGGGAGGAAGCAGGGCATGGGGCTCGGTGGGCCTGAAGCCATCCCTCCCGTTTGCCCCTACAGATAAGGTGGTTGCCAGGAACCTGGTGGAAGCCATGCTGAGCCCCCTGCCGCAGGCCCGCCCCTCGGCTCACCAGGTGCTAGCCCACCCCTTCTTCTGGAGCAGAGCAAAGCAGCTCCAGTTCTTCCAGGTCAGAGGGAAATCTTGGGGATGGCCCTAAATAAGTCCCAAGTTTGGGCGCCGAGTAATAAGGGGAAGCCAGAGTGGCTGGGGAGAGACTTGTCTCTCTGTTCCAGAAAGCCCAGCTCCTTCTCTGAACCAAGCTCTGGCCTAGACGCCTAGACGTTGCCGGGCTGGCGCTCCACGTTCTGCTCACTACCAGATTTCCCAGCCCCAGCCTCCATCCTGCCCCCACCCCACCCCCGGGTGACACACGCCCCCATGCCATTCAACCCTAGTTGTCGCTTCATGTTACAACGGTGCCCAGATAGCCCATCCCACTTGTGTGACCTTGAGCAAGGGACTTGGTGCCTCTGAGTCTGTTTGCTCATCTGTAAAATGGGGACAACAGTACTTACCTCACAGGTTGATGAAGACCTGGCAGGTAACATGGAGACATGGCACCGGGAAGCTGTACTTAAGGGGCAACAATCCTTGTCCTAAACCAAGAAGCTTTTGCCGTTTGGCTCCCCCAAGCCATACGGCACTTCTGGGCCTTGTGGCCTCTGAAACTGCTCATGAGGCTCAAAAGCTCTGTGGGGTCCTAGGACGTCAGTGACTGGCTGGAGAAGGAGTCTGAGCAAGGGCCCCTGGTGACAGCGCTGGAGGCGGGGGGCTCCGCGGTGGTCCGGGGCGACTGGCACAAGCACATCTCTGTGCCGCTGCAGACAGGTAGAGGCCAGCCTTGGGGTGGGTCCGCCGGACGGAGGGGAATCCAGCAGAGGCAGCCTTGCCAAGGAGTTTCCTGCCCACAGATCTGAGACGGTTCCGGACGTATAAGGGGACGTCAGTTCGAGACCTGCTCCGTGCTATGAGGAATAAGGTGTGCTCTAGGGTTTGCACGGGGCCTGGATCACGGGGCAGCCCGGTCACGGCTGAGCGGGGGCTCTCTCTCTACCTCCCTCCAGAAACACCACTACAGGGAGCTCCCGATGGAAGTCCGGCAGGTGCTCGGCCACGTCCCCGACAGCTTCGTCCAGTACTTCACAGCCCGCTTCCCGCGACTGCTGGTCCACACACACGGCGCCATGAGGCACTGTGCTTCCGAGAGCCTCTTCCTGCCCTACTACCCGCCAGCCTCCAGGGCCAGGGAGCCATGCCCAGCCGGGAGCTGAGGCCACCAGCCAAGGGGTGGGCCCGTGGCTGAGGCCGGCCTCAACGACAGAAAAGACTGGCCAAGTCTCAGCAGCCTGGGGCTTCTGGAGCAAAGACGCACCCAGAGCCCAGAAGCCAGGCACCCTCAGGGACTACAGAAGAAATAGAAGATTCACATGTTTAATGTATATAAAGGCAAGGAAAGGGCAGTCCCGGATTCAAGAGCGGTATTCTGTACAATGCATATGGTGGGGCTGAGGGGGAAGGGCAAGAGACCGTAGAACCCACACCCGAACATGTACAAAAATAACTTAACACGGCGACCCCCACCAGCAAGGATGTGGAGCTCTCCCCAGCCCCCAGGGCCGGGGACACATTCTAGAAAACGGCACGAGGGTTGCTAACCAGTGCGGGCCAAGGTGCTGTGGGGGTGAGAAGGGGTGCCAGTCCGGAGGGGAGGAAGGCCTACGAGGAGGCCTTGAGACGGTTGGCAGCCGAGCGGGAGCTCAGCAGCTTGTCCACCATGGTGCGGGCGTAGCGGAGCCGGCTGGCCAGCTCCTTGGAGCAACCGTACTCCTCCAGCAGGCTCAGGCGGTACGTGCGGAAGTCCCGCCTCTCGTCGATGTAGGTCACGGCTGCCATCAGCGGGCACAGGATGAGTTTGGTATGGTCCTAGGAGGGAAGCGGGGGGAAGACGGACAGTTACCATTGGTCTGAAGGTCCCAGCTGCTAGCGCATGCCGGGGAGCAGAGGGGAGACACTGCAGCTGACGAGGGGTTCCCGTCCCACCTTGCCTCACGCTCTTCCTACTGCCTGATGCCAAGCACAGGTCCCACGCCTCCCACTCCCCACCCCACTCCAGGGGCCTGCAGATGGGTACAGGTACCCCACCCCGACTCTCCCCACCCTGGTTCACCTGGAAGAAGTTGATCTGCACACAGCCATTGCTGAGATGCAGGATGATGGCACTGCGGGTGCGAAACCAGGTGCGCAGGTAGGGTAGCCGGGCGAGCTCATCGCCTTCCCGGGGTGTGATGTTGGCACCTGCCTTCAGCAAGTGTTCACTCATGTAGTTCCGGAAATACTTCAGGAGAGTGATCTGGATGGAAAGGGAGGGAGGGAGGCCAGAGTTGGAGCCGGACCCCCGGTACATGCCTCCCTCCCGGCAACACCAGGCTGCGGCCACCAGCCGGCGCTCACCTTCTTCATGAGGGAGTTGGGATGGGAGCTCACGGTGAGGTAGGACTCTGTGCCATCGCGCTCTATGTACTGCAGGCTGTCACCGTCATTGTAGAGGATCAGGCGTGTTGAGTCATTGAAGAGCACCCCCACGCTGTTGTCGCATAGCTGGTACCCTGGTAGGTGGAGGAAGACCTCAGGAAGGGGGAGAAGGGAGCAGGGGGGCACTGGGAGCTGGAAGTAAGAGGCCTGGGAGGGAGACAGGAGATTGTTGGCAGCAGAGGACCAAGGAGCCAAAAAAAGTAAGAGCCTGGAATGGCTCAAAGGGTCACTGGGCCGTACCTGAGCCACCACCCATTCTGGAAGCAACCTACCGAGGCCATACTTGTCCGAATAGTCCACCCACTTGCTGACCCAGAAGATGGGGATGCAGGCAGGATCCTCAGCCTCCTCTGCGACAGAAACAGACAGATGGTTGGTCAGCACCAGAGTCTTCCCCTCCGGTCCACTCAGGTGGCCCCCGCCAGGGAGGACTGCTGGGCACTCCACCCAGGCTCCGTCAAGAGGCCTGGGGCCCCAGGGAAGAGCCAAGCAGGGCCTGTGCCACCACCAAGCCCTGGCAAGCAGCAGAACAGACAAATTCCAGTTCATTCAGTCCATCCACTGATCAAAGGCCCACCTTGTGCCAGGCACTGTCACAGGTGCAGTGAGCGATGGCATAAAACCCAGCCTTCATGGAACTTACATCCTCGTTATAGGGACAGAGGCTGATCAACATAAATATGGACAAAATGTTATTTCTCTCATGGTGAGAGTCAGTGGCCGATGGATTATCTAATTTTTTGGTTCTGAGTGATTAAGAAATTGTCAGAATATATACAATTCCAAATACATCAAAATGTTATGTTCAGGGGCGCCTGCTCTGTCCGTTAAGTGTCTGACTACAGCTCAGGTCATGATCTCAGGTTCATGGTATCAAGCCCCGTGTAGGGCTCAGCTGGGAGCCTGCTTCTCCCTCTCCCTCTCCCCTCGCTTGTGCTCTTTCTCAAATAAATAAAATCTTAAAAAAAAATGTTGTGTTCAGTGCATGTGATAATCCCTTATTTAAATACAGGGGGGTGAGAAGTGCTAGGAGTGGGGGGCCAGGGAAATGCTCATGGGGCAGACATCTGAAGGAGAGTGTGAGCCCTGCACATATCTGGAGGAAGTACATTCCAGAAGAAGGGAACAGTATGAGCAAGAGCCCTGAGGCTCTTGAAGACTAAGCAGGAACCCACCGAACAGCAGAAAGAGCATGTGCAGATGTACAAGGTGGCTCACGGAAGTGCTGGGTGATGGGGCACTGGGGGAGGCAGAACACATGAGTCAGAAAAAGACAGGCGGGGCCTTGAATGCCAGGCTAACCCATTTGGATTTTAATCTATAGAAAACCGGGAACTAACGGTATTCGGGAGACTGGGCCCGGACGAGCCCTGGACACACTGCAGCAGAGACTTCCCCGCCCTCTCCAGGTGCGCAGGCAACCCCATCCCCAGGCCCCTACCATGCCCACCTTGCCTCACCAGCCCCCGCTCTGAGGGCTTGGATGCATTGACGCTGTGTAGCTGCTGCAGCATGTCGCCCAGGTGGCAGTCAACCGCCTCACTGGTCTCCCGGACCACTGGCTCCTCTTTTTCCCGGGGCCGCTCGGGCATGGGGTTCTCCGTGCCTAGGAAGAAGATGACGCATGGTCACTAGCTGGGCACAAAGGCAGCAGGCTGGGAGGGGCACAGGACCCTCTGCCACAGCTGCTACTCTCCCCAGAGAAAAATTATTTTAGCTGCCATTGCTTTGGGTAAACTGAGTCAGTGATGGGTATAGAGCGGCAGGTGCCACACTCATGTGACAGCAGCATGATACTCATACCTCCAGGGCCAAGCCAAGCCCTTAAGGAAGGCTTCATGGCCACACACACCAAAGAGCTTCAGATGCTCTGGCCTCTGCCCCAATCCTGGGCCTCCTGCAGGACACCACCAGTCACTCCAGGAGACAGTGTGAAGGCACCACCAGCTCGGAGCTGCCCGGCCAAGAATTAAAATCCAGGAAAATGGGAGGGCTCGGTAAATTGTACACAGCTCATCAACAAAATGGATTAAGCAAGCATTTGATGAAAACATGAGATTTCTTTTTTCTACCCCCAAGTTTTATATAGATGGCCGAAGTGTCTGAAAAGATACACTTTGAGATTTTTCTCATTGGTTATATTTGGGTTAGAAAAGCCTGGATGATTTTTATTATCTTTATGCTCTAATGTTTCTTTCCCCACCAACATGTGCTAGTTCTCCTTGTAGAATATGAAATATGTCTTCTAATATTTTTAAGATCAGAGTTTTCAATTTAAAAAACTATCCTGTGGTAAGAACTGAAATGTGAAATAATAAGATATTTGCCCCATGTAGGGCATTTGCTTTAAAAACTCTAACAAAGGAGAGCGCCTGGGTGGCTCAGTTGGTTAAGTGTCTGCCTTTGGCTCAAGTCATAATCTCAGGGTCCTAGGATGGAGCCCCACATCAGGCTTCCAGGGAGCCTCCTTCTTCCTCTACCTGTACTCTCTCTGTCAAATAAGTAAATAAAATCTTTAAAAAAAGAAAAAACAAAAAACCTCTAGCAAAGGGGCACCTAGGTGGTTCAGTCATTAAGCATCTGCCTTCAACTCAGGTCATGATCCTGGGGTCCTGGGATCAAGCCCCATGTTGGGGTCCCTGCTCAATGAAGAATGCTTCTCCCTCTCCCTCTGCCCCTCCCCCGTTCTCTCGCTCAAATAAATATATATATATAAAATCTTTAAAAAAACCAAAACTCTAGCAAGGGGGTGCCTGGGTGGCTCAGTTGGCTGGGCAACCAACTCGATTTTGGCTCAGGTCAGGACTCGGGGTAGTGAGATCAAGCCTCATGTGGGGCTCCCCACTCAGAGGGGCATCTTGCTTGGGATTCTCTCTCTCTCTGCCCAACCCCCTCGCTTGCAGGCTCTCTCTCTCTTAAATAAATACGTAATCTTAACAACAAAAAAAAAGAAGCCACCAAAAAACCAACTCTAGCTGGGGACCTGGGTGGCTCAATCGGTTAAGCATCTGACTCTTGATTTCGGCTCAGGGTCATGATATCGAGCCCCCTGGGACGCCTGGGTGGCTCAGTGGGTGAAGCATCTGCCTTCGGCTCAGGTCATGATGCCAGGGTCCTGGGATCGAGTCCTGTGTCGGGGTCTCTGCTCAGGGGGGAGCCTGCTTCTCTCTCTACCACTCCCCTCGCTTGTGTTTTCTTTCACTCTCTCTCAAATAAATACATAAAATACTAAAAAAAAAAAAAAGAGATCGAGCCCCATGTCAGGCTCTGCATTGGGCGTGGAGTCTGCTTAGGATTCTCTCTCTCCCTCTGCCCACCCTCTCCCCCACTCTCCACGTGTGCTCTCTCTAAAAAAATTAATAAAAATAAAAACTCTAGCAAAAAAAGGGGAGAAGGTAGAAATGGATAAAACCACGTACAGGCAGGCAATGTTGCTAACTACTGAAAATGGATGATGAATACACGGGGATTCCTCATACAGTTAGTTCTCCCTACTTTTGGGGAAGTTTGAAAATTTCCAGCATATGGGGCGCCTGGTGGCTCAGTTGTTAAGTGTCTGCCTTCGGCTCAGGTCGTGATCCCAGGGTCCTGAGGTCGAGCCCCACATCAGGCTCCCTGCTCAGCGGGAAGCCTGCTTCTCCCTCTCCCACTCCCTCTCCTTGTGTTCTTGCCATGTCTCTCTCTTCAAATAAATAAAATAAAATCTTTAAAAAAAGAGAAAATTTCCAGCATAAGAAGTTTAGAAAAAAAAAGCTTTATATTCAAAAATTCAAAAAGAAAAATAATCTTGGGGCACCTGGGTGGCTCAGTTGTTAAGCATCTGCCTTCGGCTCAGGTCATGATCTCAGGGTCCTGGGACCGAGTCCTGTATAGGGCTCCCTGCTCAGCGGGAAGCCTGCTTCTCCCTCTCCCACTCCCCCTTGCCTGTGTTCCCTTGCTCGCTGTGTTTCTCTCTGTCAAATAAATAAATGAAATCTTTAAAAAATAATAATAATCTTTAAAATAGCAATATTTTATACATTACAGGCCAAAGAATAAAACCATGAGTACATGTTGATATAAGTAACCAAATAAATACATGAGAGGGAAGCGACAGCTCTTCCTTATGGAAGAATTCCAATGAATTACTTTAGGAGTGGGGAAGACAGAGGAATCTCCATTAGAATAACACATTAGCAACTGCCTTAGGGAGATCCACCAAGGATGCAAGAGTCTGAGGAGAAACAGGACTGTCTTAAAGTCACTCCAGCAAGGTATTTATTAATTACAAAGGGAAAAATTGTAATTCTGCAGTAGGCATCACCCTAGCCAACTGATCAAGATTAATATTACCAATTAAAAGAAACGGAAAAAAAAAACCAAACAAACCAAAAAAGGAATCCTTAACAGTATTAATTACAAAAAAAAGGGGCGCCTGGGTAGCTCAGCTGTTAAGCGTCTGCCTTCGGCTCAGGTCATGATCCCAGGGTCCTGGGATCAAGCCCTATCGGGCTCCCTGCTCCGCGGGAAGGCTGCTTCTCCCTCTCCCACTCTCCCTGGCTTGTGTTCCGGCTCTCGCTAACTCTCTGTCAAATAAATAAATAAAATCTTTAAAAAAAAAGCAAACAAAAAACAAAAAACAAAAAAACACCCAAAACCAAACCCCTCCCAAAAACCAACAAAACAAAACCTCCCAAAACCAAAAAAACCCCCAAAACCAAAAAAAAACAGTATTAGATTACAACAGAAACAAATGAATTTATATATTAAATTGGTGCTATATCCACACAGAGGAAAAAAAGTATTTCAAACGACCTTTTTAAAAACACTAAATATCCTTAGTGAAACATTCTAAGGACAAATGGAATTTGAATAAGCTAAAACATCATTAAAAAAAATAATAAGAGGAACTAGTTTATAGATGTTGAAAAATGTATGTATATAATAGTGTAAGGAAACAAGATTGTCAGTTGAAATACAAGAATAAAATCAAAGAAGTAAAAATCATATAAAACTGTATTTGAACTGGACACCTGTAAATTACAAAAAGTAGTAACTCCAGAGTAGACAAAACAATATTGTACCAGTGTTAAATTTCCTGAACTTGCTCACTGTGTCATGTGCTGTGGTTATGTGAAAGAATCTTTGTCTTTAGGAAAAATACACTGAAGTATTAAGTGGTCAAGGGCAGGATGTATACAACTTACTTTTAAGTGGTTCAAGAAAAAAAGTGGGTGTATATACACACATACGCACATAAACACACATATATAACTTTATATACACTAAAAAGAGAAAGATAAAGTGTAGAAAAATACTAATTGGTGGAGAAAAGGGAGCTTTTGTTATTCTTCCACCTTTTCATAATCTGACTGTTAAATGTGTGGGGGGGTGGGGGCCCACTGCATTATGCCCTACATATATATTTGAAATTTTTCATATTTTTTTTTCAATGAACCATCAAAGTGTGATGTTAGGAATTTTTTAAGTGCTAAGCGTTTTTTGGGCGTGGCATTCAGTCCACTCTCCTTTTTCTGGGCAGGAGAGGTATGATCCAGCCAGGGTTAAAGTGTGTCTTTCCCACTAGGGTCCACCCGGAGGAAGGGCATTTTGCTTTGGGGGGGGGTGGGGGCTGTGGATTCAAGGACGGGCAGGTCCTACTGCACGCCTGGGCTCTGGGGGCCACCCACCCACACATCTGAAGCCTAGGCTCTCTCTGGGGGTCTACTGTTTTACCTTTATTGAGGACTGTGAGAGGCTTCCGGCTGCTGGGGTCCAGACTGCTGGGAGCGATGGAAAATCGGGGTGCAATGGTGAGACAGGTGATGGGGAGCCGGGCGGGGATGTAGCCGGAGGTAAAGAACTCGTCATTGAGCAGCTCATGAATAGTGGGACGGGCAGTAGGATCTGTCTGAAGCATCTTCTGGATGAGGGAGGCGGCCACAGGGTTGATGTGCTGGAGCAGAGAGGGAGGGCCGTGAGTGGGACATGACGGGGGACCCGAGGGCAGTGCTGTCATAAAGACACCACAGCCCCTGGCCCACATAAGCCATGTTCAGTGGCCACAAATCTGCCAGGTTCCCCATATTGGCTTTACTGAGTTGGCAAATGTCAACCTAAGCTGTGAGAATGATCACTTCTCCTTCCTTTTGAGACTCAAGATTCACTGGGTTTCCCCTGAATTTGTTCTCCAGTAACTTAAGTTGCTCACCACTAGGTAGCACTTGAGAACACAGGCTGGGGGGGGTCATAAAGACCTGGTTAAGTCCCAGTACTGTCCCTAATAGCAGCTGTGGCAAGGGACCCGACTTGCTCAGGACTTTGTTTCATCCTCTGGAAAGCAAGACACAGCACCAAGCCTGGGGTCCTACTAGGATTCGATGGGGGACAACCTAGCCCAGGTCAAAGGCATAGTCACAGGCTAGCATTAGCCGTGCACTTACTATGTGCCAGCAGCGTTGCAAGCACGTCATGTGTATTAACTCACCGACCCTTCACAAAAACATCTAAGGGGTGGAGTCTCTATTAGCATCTCTCTTTTGCAGAGGAAGAAACGGAGCCCAGAGAGGTTAAGTGCCCTTCCTAAGAACACATACCTAATGAGTGGTGAAGCCAGCATCCACACCAAAGCACTGGGGTGGTCTCGCGCTCCCACTCTGAACCCTCCAGGGTCTGTCCGTCTGACAGTTAAATGACCCTTTGTGACAGATTTTGTCTGTCTGTCCTTACGGAGACAGGGCCCTTGACTTCACAGGAGTCAAAGATACCAAACCGGAAAGCAGCCACATGTCGGGCTTCTGCAGAAACAGCCTGTTCCTTTCCAATGCACTGACGCCAGTGGTTGTGAAAATGCGCACCACTTTGGATTCACGGTGGTTCAGGATTCTGTGAGTGCTTACTGTATACAAGGCGCCCCGCGAGCTGCTCCCTTTTATAAATGGGAAACTAGAGTTCAAGAGATTCAGGCCGCTTGCCCACTGTGATCCGGCTGCTACGTGGCAGAGCCCAGTTAAATCAAGAAGGTCCATTTCCAGAGGTTAAGCAGCACTTCTGTGTCTGCCTCCCTACTCCCTCCCCATTTTTTTTTCTCTTTCCACATCTTTTGGGTTATCTACCCAACCTCTGGGGATCTACAAACTCTCCCCCCTTAGAAAAAATGCCTCTGTGCATACATGTCAAGCTCTGTTTGTAATATCAGACACAGATCCATCGAAGCTCTATGGGTACCCTAGGGGTAGGGTTGACCTATCTCTGTCCCCAGGATATGGCTGGGCTCAGTAAACAACTTTTGGGGAAAAATAACCCCAAAAAACAAAATAAATTTAAACTTAAAAAAAAAAAAAGTGTTTTAGTCACCTTGGGAATACTGTAGTCGTTCTTCTTGATCCGGAGGTAGGTCTCTTTGAGGCAAGAGGTCTCAAAAGGTGGTTTGCCCACTAACAATGTATACCTGTAAGCACAAGGGGGCTGATTTGGCTCGAGGCTCCCAGCCAAAACCTACCTGCCAGAGAAATCATCTCAGGGCTGGCATCTGGAAACTCTGACTTTGGGGCCCCCAAGGATAGTCCTCAAGTCCACAGGAGCCAGGACACGGGTGGGGCTGAGCCCTCAGGAGAAGATAGGCGACAGCACCAGGACTCTTAAGACTAGCAGTGACTTTCCAGCTGGAGCCTATAGGAATCCAGGGCCCCAAAGGCTGCTGGCTAGTACAAAACAGGTCCCAGTGCATGGGCTACCTGCCCCTATCGAGGCAGCTCCACTTTGACAGTTCTGCACTCAAGGCATGAAGTTTTCATTTGAAAAAGCTCTACTGCAAAGAAGTACGGAAGCCACTGCTACAACTCACTTCTCCTCCTACCGGTACCCTGGCAAACAACAATAAAAAAGAGAACACCCAAAAACGCCCAACTCTCTGCCCACCACCCACCCACCTCGGGAGGCCTTGATCCAGACTTTATTGTGCCTGGAAATCACCCAGGGATCTTAAAATCCAGATTCTGAGCCAGTGAGATTCTGCATTTCTAACAAGTTCCTGGGTGATGCTGCAGCCCTTTGCACCACACTTTGAGTAGCCAGGGCCTAGAGCAGGTTTGTGGAGGCCTCCCAGCCCCCTTCCCCAGGGCCATAGCCCAGGCTGCTGCAGGAATCCCATAGGATACACCAGTGACAAGAAAAGATATGGAAATCAGGCTTTGGTTTTGGGCAATCTGTTCTCTGGAGCAGCCTCTTCATAGCCAGAAAGGTCCAAAGGATAAAGTCAGCCAGGTGAGACATCCAAAAGGGCAGGTACATCCTGAGACAACTCCCAACTTACATGATACACCCAATGGACCACACGTCCACCTCGAAACTGTGCCCTTTCTTGCTCAGCACCTCAGGAGCTATGTAATTAGGAGTCCCACACAGGGTCTTCTTGCGTTCCCCATCATATTCCACTTTGGTTGCCAGTCCAAAATCCCCTGGGACAGAGGGAGGAAGAGGGGGTACTCAGTTGCTAGCCTCTGTCATCTGCCAATGGAGAAAGCTGGTACAGGTGTGACTGTCAAGAACCAGGGTCATTTCCTCCCTTGGGTCCCTACTCCTTGTAGGCAGCAAGGCTTGCCCAAGATGCCTCCCACCATGTTGGCCCAGGGGAGGGATCTCCCAGGGCCCCTCCTTGCCCCTCCCCTTAGAAAGGAGGGCCCTCAGGGATCAACAAGTAAAGGTCAGGACCCCTATTTGGCAAGTTTGTGAGTTAATAACAGGGAGAAGTGGAGACTATGGAAAATCCAAGGGAGCCTAAGGGGAACAGCTGCTTTTCAGCCCTGCAAAGAGCTGCCTGAGGGGATACTGTCTCAGAACTGCGGCAACTTCCAACTGTTTAAAAGGAGTTCCAAATCCTAATTTTTATGTCAAGCATCCCAATTTATATCTGTGAAAACTAATTCAAATTCTTTTTTTAAAAAAAGTACTGTGTGGAAGCACTAAAAAATGCATCTGCAGCATACAGGCTTGGGGCTCTTGGTTTTAAATTTCTGTACGAAAGAGAGGATTCTAGAGGCCATCAATAGCCCAGACTTCTACCATCCTTTTCCTCCCTCCCTTGTTTCCTTCCTATTTCCTCCTCCTCATTCCCGCTTCTGGGGGTGTCAAGCACCCCTGCAGGCCCAGCACTCACCTATTTTCACCTCCAGATCCTCATTCAGGAAAAGGTTGCCCAGCTTGAGGTCCCGGTGAATAACCCGGTTTCGGTGCAGGTACTGGCAGCCAAGGACAATTTGTCGAAGGTAGTAGCGGGCTTCCGGCTCGGTCAGTGCTTTCCTCCGCTTGTGCAGCTCCAGGAGAGACTGAGTGGGGGAAGGAGAGGAGGAATGGGGAGCCGGTACCGAGGCACAGGGGGAAGGGCTTGTCATTAAAGGCAGCCCAGGGCGCCCCACCCCATTCCTTCTCCAGGACAGCTGCGAGCCTGGCCACTACCGTTCATGGCACCCCTTCTCCCACTAGCTGCCTCCCAAGCCTCCTACCTGGGATGCCTCTTTCAGCCCCACTCCGGGCAGCTCCGAGTCCACAGCATCCCGCCCCCGGCCTTCGCGCAGCAGGAGATCCCTTTCCAGCCGCCTCTCCTTCCGGAAGCTGCGAAGTCTGGCTCCAACCACCCTCTCCCCGACCCAACCCTACTCCGGAAGCTCCCGAACCGCAGCACCCCTTCCCCGGGACTCCTCCCTTAGCAACTCCGGAAGCCCTTGGGTCCAGTACCAGGATTCTCCTCCTACCCGCGCCTCCCCCTCTCCGCTCAACACCTAGCGTCCAGGAGCCGCCTTCCCTAGCAGCAACAGGACTCGGGCTCCACTTAACCTGAACCCCCTCCCCCTAGCAGCTCCAAGTGCCAAGCACCCTCTCCCCTCTCCTCGAGACCTTTACAACCCCTAGTTCGAGGTTCCCAGCACCTCCTCTCTAGCAGCTCCGAGCCCCCCGAGCCCCCCCAACTCCGGTCCCCAGGCAGCGACACTCACCCTCCGGCGGCAGAGCTCCAACACCACGAATACGAAGTCGCTGTCCTCGAAAAAGCCGTGGAAGCCTACGATGTGCTGGTGGGCGAGGCTGCGGTGAATGGATATCTCCATGGACATCTTCTCCTTCTGGTGCGGCTTGAGCAGCAGCGATTTAGGCACGATCTTGCCAGCGAACACCTCCTTAGTGTCAGCGTCCGAGATCTCGAAGCACTTAGCAAAGCCGCCCTTCCCCAGAAAGCGTCCCCGCAGGTAGCGTCGCCGGCTGCGCGGGTCCACTAGGACCTCCGGGATCTCTTTCGCCGGCGGAGCGGCTGCCGGGGCCCCGGGAGCTGCAACTCCGGGGCCCCCGGCTTTCCCTGGGTCGGCTGGTGCCCGCGCCAGCTTCCCTGCAGTTGCCGCCGCACTCATGTTCCCGAAGTTGCTCCGCGGACCTAGCAGGGTCTGAGCAGAGGCTTGGCACCGCTTCGCTCCTCCTCGAATTCAAACGCGGCGCCGGGAACGTTACAAGAGCCTGCGCGCCACTGATTGGCCGCGGGGATTTAAAATCCAAACCCGCCCGCCGCGCGGCACGATGGGAGCGCTCGGCACCGCCGCCTCCTTTAAACCCGTACCCTGTCCTGGGCCGGGGGAGACTTGATTGACAGGGACTCGCGCACAGCAGACACGTGGGATGCCTGGGAAACCGTACCCGGCGTGGGGATGCCGAGACCCGGCCCAAGGAGAGGGGGGAGTTCAGGGTTTCCCCCTTTCTCCGCGGCCGGGGAAGTTCCTGCAGTTCCCATGCACCTCCTCCAGGAAGCTTTTCCTAATACCTTCCTCCACCCCCACCCCCACCCCGCCTTCTAGACTATAAACTCTTGAGAATAGAGACCTGGCAGGGCAGCTTTAGGCAGCCGCCTCCGATGTCCTCAGCTCTCTTCCGAGACACCCCAATAAGCTAAAACCCAAGTAAAAACACGGAGCTTGCCAGGCCGATGCACTTTCATGGCAAGGCCCCTACTTTCAGAATAACAGCTGCTCCTAAGCCCCTCCGGAATATACAGCAAACTCCACTCAAAGCACATATGGTTCAGGGACCACCAGCATTACCATCACCTGGGAACTTGTTAGTAAGAAAATTTCAGGCCTTACCCCAGACCTCCTGATTCAGGAATCTGCCTTTCAATGTGACTGCCAGGTGATTCCCACACATACTGCTGTTTGAGGCTCACAGTACCAGCCCCTCCCCCCCCCATTCAAGAAAGTTGTCTGTCCAGCTTGCTCACTGCTGTATTTCCCAGGGTCTAAAAGAGTGGACCCCCAAGTCACTGGTGAGAGGAAGGATGGCTGGTTGGCAGAATGCCCAGCAAACTGGTAGGCCACAGCCAAACACCCTGCACGGGTGTATTTTGTTTGGCCTCCCACTTCTGAAAATTTGGATTCATTTACAGCACTTAAAAATCAAGAGAGCTTAAATAAAACTTCAGCTTGGTGTTTTTTCCTAACAAACAAAAACTAGAAGGTTCCACAACTCTATGCCACATACTTTCCCAGTTTGCGATAGTTCCCAGCTATCTCCCTAAGCCCATTTGCCTGACTTCCCAAAGTACGTGAGTGGCAGACCTAGAACAGCAAAATGCCCGAGTTAGAAGCCCTTTCTCTGTTCCCCCCTGTACCCTATGATGTCTCGGATAGAGCCCAGCAAGTATCAACCATATGGTAAGTATCCCTTCACCTGCCTCCCGATAAACTGAGAGGTGATGATGTCTTTCCTAGCCCATGTCCCAAGCTCCCAGAGCAATGCCTAGTAAAAAGGAGTAACTGAAATGTTTGCTGAATAAAAGGAAGTTTTTTTTAAAAATTAACTTGCTATTTTTTATCCTTGTGGTGTGTAATCTTCCTATTGAAGTTTAAGATACGTAGAGAAAATGTTTACATAACTGTACAGCTCAATGAATTTTCATAACTTGAACCCACCTCACATAAACAACACCCAAATTGAGGAAAAGAACACTACCAACACCCCAAAAGTCCCCCTTGTGCCCTGTCTTGGGAGTCCCCAAAACTACTCTGCAGTTTGACGACTTGTTAGGAGACTCACAGGACTCAGCATATAGTCTTACTGTCAGCAGGCTATAATTTATTACAGCGAAAGGCTACCAAGCAAAATCAGCAAAGGGAAAAGGTGCATAGAACAAAGTGCAGAGGAAACCAGGCGCAGGCTTCTCAGAGCCCTCTCCCAGTGGAGTTCCACAGGACACAATTCCTCCAGCAGTGGGTTATGATAACAAGTGTGAAATGTTATTTGCCAGGGAAGCTCCTTAGAGACTCAGCATCCAGGGCTTTTACTGGGGGCCGGTCAAGTAGGCACCCTCTGCCTAGCACATACCCAAATTCTGGATTCCTGGAAGGAAAGCAGGTATTCAGCATAAACCATATTGTTTGCACAGTTTAGGCAGAGTGAGCCACTCTTATCATTTAGGGAATGTTGAGAATCCTCCCGAAATCCAATTACCCAGATGTCAGCCAAGAGTCAGCATTGCAAACAAGGACAGCAGTCTCAGGCCTACTCTGTTAACTCTCTTCTGCACTGGCCCCCACCTTGGCCGTTGGCCCAGGCTTCTATACAGCAAGTTTATTATCAGTAGGACCCCATGCAAAAGGATGAGACCAACCTGCAGTACTGATCTCAGTTATGCTCCTTAAAGGTCCTACATTTAGCCAGTTAAAATAAATCCCAATAACCCATAATAATCCCATTAAAATAATCTAATATTTTAGATATGGTATATGTCAACTATACCTCAATTAAATAAAAACAACAGTCTATCTTAGAAAGTCAAGTGGCTCCCTCACTAAACTTCTGTATGATTCATTTTTACCTGGCCTGAGATACCAATTCAGGTACAGCAAGGCTGTGGCCAGCAAGTTCAAGCTGATCTGAAGCCTTCCAGGGCTAAGGCAGTGTGGCGAGAGGGCACAGAGACAGAAGTAGACTCCCAGAGGGTACATGGTCCCCCTGGAAACGAGTTTGCAATGTTAGGGTACCTCAAGCAGGGCATATGTTAGGTGGTGGAGGTTAACAGGACACCCAATGTAAGCCTCCTGCCACGTGGCCTCCTGCCCTGGAGTTTCCAATTCAGTCTGAAAGATCCAACCAGCCCTTGGTTCTGCTTGTCTATGATACAGGTGTATGCATCTCGTGAGTGTGCGTTCTGTGTGGGAAGTGCAGGAGCCCAGCCCCTCTGTTGTCAGGCAGTGCTGCGAGCTGTGAGCACAGGCTCAGCAGTCTGAGCTCAAAGCGCTCCAGTGCATGGAAAGGCAGCTCTGGAGTCTTCTGTCAGGAAGAACAGAAAGCTTCCTGATAGAGTTCTGAAGAACCAAGGTCATAAATGCCCCCCAACCACTTGCCAAAGGCTCCCCAGGTGCCAGTACTTTTCTCCACTGTTACAAAATCTTCGGGCCCCGACGTTCAGCAACCCAACAACATTCTTTCAATCACCTCTTCTCCTCCAGGCCTTTTATCTGCAAGGGCTGTATGCAGAAGGCACAAATGCATTTTTGCAGGTAAACATTTTTATCTCACTTAACCAGAAAGACAAATTCAGGAATTGGTCAGGATGTAGGTTGAACTGTATCCCTAACCGCCCCCCCACCATTCCTGTGCTGAAACCCTCACCCCCAGTACCTCAGAATGTGACTATATTGGGAGACAGGGCTTTCAAAGAGGTGATTCAATTAAAATGGACTCACTAGGGTGGGCCCTCACCTGATCTGACTGGTGTCCTTGTAAGAAGAGAAGATGAGGACACAAGACCGAGAGGCGACTATGGCAGAACACATGGGAGGGTGGCCACCTGCAAGCCAAGAAGAGACGACTCAAGAGAAATCAAACCTGCTGACACGTTGGTCTTGGACTTCTGGCCTCCGGAACTGTGAGAACACACATTTCTATTATTTAAGCCCCCCAGTCTAAGGCATTTTGTGATGGCAGCCCTAGCTGACTAATGAAGATGAAAGCCTGAATTTTCAAAAAATTTCAAAATGGGTTTACAGAACCTCGCACTCCTTTTATCCAGTGAACAGCCTCGATCAATCCCTCTCTGGAGACAGCTCTATTCAGATAATGAACCTTACTAAGTGTGGATGGAGGGGGGTGGAGTAAGAAGTAGAATCAAACTATCAGCCCATTGTGGTGAGTTGCAACTAATCTAGAAAGTTGAACACAAGTCAGCAGCAGTGAGACATCCCCATCAAGAAGGCCAAAGTCTGATCTGTCAACAGCAGGGGGAGAGGTCACAGTCCCTGTGATGTGCCATCCCCAAATGTGCAGCTGTTGGCAGGGATCACAATTAGGGTGCGGGTAGCCTCCAGGTTAGCGATGAAGAGCTGACCAGCAACTTGATCTTAGAGGGTCTCGTAAGAGAACAAGGCCTCTTCTGTGGGCGTGTATGTGGTCTGATGGTCCAGCCAGCATCCACGATGGAGGTCTTCACCCTTTAGAGCTCCACAGAAGGGGTCCTAAATCTCCAAGGTCACAAGGTCTGAGTCCTTTTCATGGAGCCTGCGTCTGCTTCCAGGTCAGCACGGCTCCTGCTGGGACTGAAACAGCTCCCTGCGGCCTGTAGCAGTTCTCAGCTTCGTCACATCCAGACAAGAAGAATCAGGGGATCTGGGACTCCAAGAGAACCAGCTGCTTCTCTCTGGCTTGTTGCAGAAAGACATACTGCAGTACCAGACAGCCATGGTCCAGGTCCAAGTGATGAGCAAGGCTTCCTCTTCCTGCTGTCAGTCTTAGAGTCCGAACTGACTGGCTCAAAACCATGCGCATCAGGTTGGCCAGTCATCGGCCTCCATGCGTCAGACATTTGATTTCGACTAGGGCTCACTGGCAATTTAACTGCTTTTTCCAATTCCAAATGTGCATTGTCATCCAGAAATTGCCTCTCTTTTCATGTTGTCTCACCTTCCAGAGGTTCCAACAGACATAAATCAGCAAAAATCATCAGTCCTGAAGACTTGTTCTGGTCCAATACTCAAAGAATTTAAACTCCAGCACACCCACTGGTAGCAAAACAGGGGAAGCTGTATCCCACCAACACCTTCTTGATTTAATTTTTTTTGCATCTCTCTTTGATTGGGATGATCCCTCTAGCATTTATGAAATTACAACTATATAACATTTTAAATCAATTTTATCATATTTCCAGATATAAAAGTCACAAAATACAAAGTCATTTTTTAAAACTTCCCCTTTTTTTCTCATTGCAAATTTACTCAAACCCCTAGCAAATTCAGCACTGACAGAATTATAACCAGGCCTGAGGTGCTAACTCTTTTTTGCAGAGGTAGAAACAACCCCCTATAAGACTTTGAAACAATGGGATCAAAAGCCACTTAACACCCACTGCATGTATATTTTATTTATTCCATCTAGGAATATTTTTTAAGAAATGATAAAGCATTGAAGAAACTTTAATTCCCTTTCGACCTTTAACAACTGTTTTCATATTCCTTTCTAGTTCTTGTCAACATGGACTTTTGATCAGTACAGCTGCAATTATGCCACGTTAATACCATCTATCTGCAGAGTGTCCATGAACGCTTACTGAGCCCTTACTAGATGCCGTGCATGGGGCTAAGAGCTTTACAGAGATGATCTCCCTGAATCCTCACAAAGACCTTATTCCCATTTTGAAGATGAGGAAACGGGCACTATTGCCTCAGGTCCTGTAGGCAGGAGGTGGCAGGGCTAGAATTGCAACCGAACTCTGCTAACTCCAAAGTACCCCTCATGCTGCCTCTGGGGGCCTTGTCTGTCTGGCTAGCCACCAATCCCAGACTCATTTGTTCACTCACTCACTCCCTACCAAAAAGCAATATGATGTATATCTTAAACTCATGGACCAGAGAACCCCGGGTTCAAACACCAGTTCCTCCTCTTATCAGCTGTATGACCTTGGGCAAATTACTTAACCTCTCTGTGCCTCTACTTCCACGTCTATAAAATGGGGATAATTATAGCGCCCATCTCCTAGGATTCTATATGTGGGACGTGCCTATCTCCGAAGGTTCTTGTGAAGAGCTTCTGTGAGGACAGCACTTCAAACACACCAGGTACGTGGTCATGCCCGCTGTTGTTGTGATTATTGAAATAAAGAGAACCTGTGGCTATTCCCAGGGAGCTCAGGGTCTCCAAGAGGCCTTGCAGTTCCTGAGTCTCATATTTCCTCATTCTCCCCTTCCTCTGGCCCTACTGCTTCCGCAGGCTCTTGCTATTCCCAAGTCAGAAAAGTGTGCCCAGCAGACACCAAAGGTTAGATGAATACAGCTGAAAAGAGGTATGTTGGTAGGGCTAAGAAAGACCAAGGCTGAATGTCCAGACCCAAGGTCTGAAAACCAGAGAGGGTGTGGACGCCATTCTCATGTCTCTTCTCTTAGATGATTTTCATATGCCTGAACCATCTGTGTGATGGCCAATGGACTTGGAGATACAGAACAAGCCATCTCTTCTCCTTAGGGAAGCAGGGACATCTTGTGCTAACTCTTCTCACTTCAGGATCTGGGTCAGAGTGCTTAATGAAAAGTAGGTGTGGCCAACCCACCAGCAAAAACTTCAGGAAAACAAAGGATTAACCGACTGGGCAGCAAGGATCCTCCTCAGAGCCAATTGCTTTGGAGGCCCAGGATATTGGGGGAACTGCATAAAACATGGACTTTGCAGCCAGATAAGACTTGGCTTTGATTCTAGCTCAGTCGTTAATTAGCTGTGTGACACTGGGCAAATTTACTTAACCTCTCTGATGATCAGTTTCCTCCTCTGTATAATGAGTTGTAAAGATCCCTACACTTTTGACAGTTGGGAGGATTAAATGTTTTCTAATAAGTGCCTGGCAAGGAAGGGTGATCTCTTCTTTGTGGTGGAGTGATTTTAAATGAACAGATGTTTTTAATTTTTTTTTTTTTAAAGATTTTATTTTTTTGACAGAGAGAGACATAGTGAGAGAGGGAACACAAGCAGGGGGAGTGGGAGAGAGAGAAGCAGGCTTCCCGAGGAGCAGGGAGCCCGATGCGGGGCTCGATCCCAGGACCCTGGGATCATGACCTGAGCCGAAGGCAGATGCTTAACGACTGAGCCACCCAGGCGCCCCCAGATGTTTTTAATTTTCTTCTAAATTTAAAAATATGGGGGCGCCTGGGTGGCTCAGTTGGTTAAGCGACTGCCTTCGGCTCAGGTCATGATCCTGGAGTCCCGGGATCGAGTTCCGCGTCGGGCTCCCTGCTTGGCAGGGAGTCTGCTTCTCCCTCTGACCCTCCTCCTCTCATGCTCTCTGTCTCTCATTCTCTCTCTCTCTCAAATAAATAAATAAAATCTTAAAAAAAAAATATGTAAGAATGTTGTCCCTTATACTGTGAGGGATTTCACTCAAGATGTATCACTTTCTAGTAATAGTTGTTAAACCTACCAGTCATTGAGCGCTTACCCTGAGCCAGGACTCCTGCTTTACACGACTGAATGCATTTAAATCCTCATAACAACCCCTATGCATGTTCCCCATTTTATGGATGAGAAATCCGAGGTTCCACAAGAGGAGATAACCTGCCCGAAGTCACAAGGCTAGTAAACAGCAGGGCCGGGATTTGGTCTGCCTGCCTCCGGTGCCCACAGTCTTCACCACTAAGACCCGAAAAAAAGGTCTCCAGGCCTCCATCACAGCACTCTGTTTCCTTGGCTTTCTCTCCTACTAATCTGTAAGATCCCTCCAGACAGGGTCTGGCCCCATCTTATTCTCCACTGTATCTCCAGGAGCTAAGTAGGGGAGGGCCTGGCACTCAGCAGTGGCTCAAAAGGTATTTGTTAAATGAGTAAATGGGAGATGTAGCAGGTGGTCAGGGTCCCACCTTCCTAGCCCTACAGGCAGCAAGTGTATGTTCTAGAAAAGCAGAACACCATTACTGGGGGCTCTAGAAGAGTTTCAGCGATCACAGATTTACAGAACTGGTCCAACCTGGCAGGACGCTTTGCTGACAACTGTTTTGAAATAACCAAGCCTTAACACATTGTCTCAACACTGCCAATGTCATTACAGGGGCCTCTTAGCTCCATAGAAGCTACCCCCAGGGGACCAGCCAGCTAGATCTGATCACCCAAAGCAACCAACCATGTTCATTAATGCTAATTTGTCCTGGAGAATGGCTGAGGGCAAGTCAGAACATGTCTGGGGCTCCATGTTCTAGACCCCTGTGGGCTCTCACTGGCCAGATCAATACACCAAGAAAGGCCTCCCTAGCCACCAAGATCCCTTCTTTATAGCTGAGAAGCTTCCAAGGATGTATTAAATAGAAGCAATGTTTGTCTGAGTCACTTCAAGTCTGTCATCAGCTACACGGGTCAGAGTGACTAAGAAGGGAATTGTGGCCTTAGGCTCTGAGTGAAATGGCCCATGCAGAAGTGACTAATTCAGAGGCACTGCAGATCCCAATTAACCACGGGAGCCCTGTGCAACCACATGCAACAGATCAGTCAACATGAGGCACACGAGTCAGTCATTCAACCTTGTTCCCTGCACCGGGGATCCCGCAATGTGAGACTTATCTAGGCTGGGTAGGGACTCAGGGGAGGAGGGGCTCACATCCATGTAATCACCCCATTAAGTATGTGCTGGATACCCACAGGCTCACACCTGACTCCTCAGGAACTCACAGCTGGGTGGGCCCAAACAAGAACACAAGTCCATAACTAAAATTCTATCTAGGCCTTAATAGGGGTCCCTCCACAAGGACTCGTGGGGTCCACAAGGAAGCAGTTCCAGGCAGAGGAGCATCCTCTAAATGACTCTTTATTGAACACTCCACT